TTTTCACTTGATTTTTCAATTTTCTTTTCATCTGAGTTTTCTTTGCTTTTTTTACTTGAATTATCTTTGCCGTTTTTACTTGACTTTTCATCTGAATTTTCTTTGCTCTTTTCACTTGAATTCTCTTTACTCTTCTTACTTGAATTTTCATTGTTCTTTTCATTTGAATTTTCTTTGTTTTTTTCATTTGAATTTTCTTTACTCTTTTCGTTTGAATTTTCTTTGCTCTTTTCTTTTGGATTTTCTTCGCTCTTTTCGTTTAAACTATCTTTATTTGTTGCATTTGAATTTGCTTTACTCTTTTCGTAGGATTTAGGATCATCTTTGTTCATTTTCCTTCGCCGAAACTCAGAATTTGTGTTATTTTTAGTCCTAAAATGGACGATTGTTGTAATGTCGCCTTTATGTCTAACTAGATCATCTTTGTTTTTTATCTTCGTCAATAAACTCGTTCTGTCGGACACTTCTTGATCCTTTGAATTTATTGGCTTCACATATATTTTGTCACTACCTATAAATTTCAAAGCAGAATTCCAATGAGGAGGCTGCGTTGGTTCAATGGACTCTGAATGTTTTTGTGTTCCATATGAAATGTTATCATCATATGCTCCTGTCTTCTTTGGTGCTCTAATTTCCACAGGTGTATGCTGGATCTCTTTTCCATTATTTTGGAGTATTTCTGTGTTTTCCTGGCTGAGTTTTGCATCTTTTTCACGCCCATTAGTGGCTTTAAACAGTTTTGTTAAGTATTCCTGCACATCGTGTAAGTCTTCCGGTCTTTGCTTTATGTTTTTCGGCCTTTCTTTTGTATCATTTTGGTTTTCTCCTTGGGGTTTTTGCTTTTCTTTTGCATCTTCCAGCTCTACTCGTGTATTTTTCTGGCTTTCTTGTGTATCTTCCTGTCTTCCTTTTTTATTTTCCTTGTTTACTTTTGTATTTTTCTGATTTTCCCGAGTGTTTGTCGGTCTTTCTTTAGCTTCGTTATTACTTTCTTTCATCTCTTTCACTTTTGTGTTATTGCGGTTTTGTATATGCTTATATTTTAATAAAGCTGTATTATCCGTAATTTTTCTTATATGCCTTGGCCAAACATGTATATTTTTCTTTACAGCTAAGATTTTCGCATCGGTAACATTAGTATTTTGATAATTTAACGTACCGGTTTCTACATTTATATTTGTTATAAATGTATTGGCATTGTCTGCTTTCGTATTTTTTGTTTTTGTATTATTATCCGTTGGTGAATTTCCATCAGTACTAGTTCTAATGAATTTCTCCTTTGTAGCTTCAATTGTTAAATTGTTATGTTTGATTTTGTTATTTTTCATTGAATATAATTCTAAATTATTTGAAGTTTTGTTTTCTGGCCTAGGATGTTTGTTCGAACTATTTATAGTTTTGATATCTGGTATTGGATAAAAAATATTTGTTTTAGTATTAATTCGTTGTGTTGTCCTAGTAAATTTTTTGTAATTCTCTTCGAAACTTCTGTCTACATTGTTAGATGTTTTGACAGTTTTATCACATGTGCTGTTGGGTTCAAAAATTGTATCAGATACATTGTGCTGCAATTGTGCCGTATATTTAATTCTAATCGTCTCAGTGCTTATAATAATGTTAAAATCTGCGTCACTGTGACCATCACTAATTCCACTGTGTCTGTCCCTTCCGTCATTGTGTTGTTCAATCTTGTCACGCTGTTCATTTTCCGCATTCGTTTTTATACTTTTATCACTTATTTCTTTTCTATCGTCGTATTCGTTTGCATTTTTATTAGAATGTTCGTATTTAATTTCGGTTGTAATATTTGCTTTGTGATAATTTTGACACGTGTCATCGGTAAATATGTAATACTCTGAAAAAAAAAAACTTTTGTACATCCTCGCAAGTAGCTACACTATAAATATGAATAACAGTCTTTTTTTATTATACCAAGTGATTGAATGAACAAGTCGTGCGCGCCTGTTGGTAAGCGACACGCCTGTCCACAACAGTTGTAGTACCACACAGAGCTTTAAATCACAAAGATCAGATTGACGGCAGAAATAGGCAAGGTCGCAGTCACGGAAGTGTGATCCGTGGTCGCAGTACTTCCCTGGAAGATCTCTTTCACAAGGACCTCTAACTGCTACTAAACAGTCATCATTATTATCAAAGTCAGACTATTAAAAACAATGGTTTTTAATAGTCTTAGAGTATAGATTTCTTCTATGTAGAGTGGATCAGCGAACAGTGGACAGATCATTAGTCGATGGAGACCCACAAGATACCAATTCTCATACGCTGCAACGTTTTCTCGATTTCGAAATAATGTCTACAGATAATGTCACTAAAATGGATATATTGTCCAAAAAATTCTAAATCTCGGTATTAAGATCATTATTTATTAATTTACTTCGAGTGAACAAACTCAAGCCGCCAGTAGTATGCTCCGTTTTAGTTCCGTGCCCTTTCCGCATAGACGGTGGCGCCATATTATTTTCCCGCGATAGTGCGTTTGTAGTACCTACCTGTGTCTAGTCGGAAATATAACACCGCGAAACATTGACCTACCAATAAAGAAACTTCAAAATTTGAGTTCGTTATTGGCTATAGAGTCATCAGCTTAAACCATAAATAGGTAACAAATAAACAAGAAACTCAAAAAACACTGAAAATTAATTTGTGTAAATATTATAAATACAAAAACCCGCCACATTTCTCTCGCGGTATTAAGACCTACAGCGAAGTTTTGTTGATCTCTACAAACGTTCCGTTTTTATTGATTATATCAAAACGTAATCGAACAGATTTTTTTGGACTTAATACTAAAGCTGGTACGTCATTTCTGATAGCGTAGTAGCATTGAAGCTCTTTGTGACAGAGTTTGTTCAGCAGTACTGCCACTACGCCTATTTCTGCCGCGTACCGGTGCTGGTAATGAATGGTAAGGGTGCTGGTACAATTACAGCCAACTGCTTGGACTGGCGTGTAGTTTACCATCAAAGCCTATGATTTGTTCGTCTCGTCCCGTGGTATCATAAAAAAATATATGTTTCGTTTTCTGACAACTTTTCGTGGGAATTCGATAAATTATCTTTACGGTGGCCATTTCGAAACTCCCTTCAGGAATTAAAAAAAATACCTTCACCAGGTTGATCGCACATGTTGCTTAGAAATAAATAGCATTCGTTCTCAAAATCCTTGTACTCGACGGTTTCGTTCAGGATTCGCATTGTGCATACGTTCGTATTATGTGATTTGCAAATGTTATCTCGGCTTTTGCATATTTTCTGGATACGCGGGCTAGCTAAATGGACGGTCACGTTTATATCATTCCTTTTTATCACAGACTCTTTATAAAGTGCCGGAAGGTTATGAACACGTACACTGTTGAAAATTAAAAAAAAGAAAACTCTCAATATTCCCGCCATTTTCAAGTCTCGTACATAATTGTATTTGTTTTTTTATTATTTGCATGTTCTGTGTAATAAATGCAATTCATGTTTAAAATTATTTAATCTATTTTTGTTTGGATCATAAAATTTGTGATTTTATTTGTAATGTTTTCTGTAACGTTTTATGAGCTGATAAGATTTTTATTTTATTTTATATTTTATTTAGTTAACAAAACGGCTTTAACCTATCAAGTTGTCCTTAGATTACAAAAAAAATCAGGTATATGTGTTCAATTAGTAGAAGTCAACTTGTACGTATTAACGGGTTCTTATCCCCACCTGTTACTATCTCTTCTGGCGTACCTCAGGGTTCCCATTTAGGGCCTTTATTTTTTTATTATATTTATTAATGACCTGATTGCAAAACTTCGTTGCCCCTGTCCATTTTACGCAGATGATCTAAAAATGTTTAACACTATCTCTAACAACAGTGATAACATTCTTCAAAATGACATTGAAACTCTCGCTCAATGGTCCCAAACAAACCTTATGTACCTGAACGTTGATAAGTGCTTAGTGATATCATTTACTAGAAAAAGTAATAAAATAACTCTTGAATACTCTCTATATAAACATGTCCTGCAACGCCGGGAAGTAGTTAGAGACCACGGTACACTGTTTGGCGAAAAATTAACTTTCAGAAATCACTTTGATCATATGGTTGGTAGGGCCTACCAGACATTGGGCTTTGTGAACCGTGCTACTAAAGCTTTCAAGAAATTGTATAGCTTTATCCATCTCTATAAGTCATTGGTAAGAAGCTTTCTGGAGTATGGTACAGTGGTTTGGTCACCTTCCTACCATGTACATTCTAACACGATCGAAGATGTACAGAGGAGGGCTCACAGATCTCTCTTTTATAGATTGGGTTATTGTCGATGTCTACCTACGAAACCAGACTAAATGCAACCTAGTATCACTTAGTATCCGTCAAACAATGTATGATTTAATATATCTTCACAAAATCTTACACTCTTACCTCGATTTCGCTAATTTATTGGCTAGTATAATTTAATATTAGATACAACTCTCGGCGTCCAAAGGCTTTTGTCCTAAATGTTTTTAAAAACAACACATATTTTTATAATCCCATAACAAGTATGTGTCGCACATATAATGACCTTATTAAGGACAATAAACAATTAGATATATTTAATTCTAAGTGTCACGTATTTAAAAAGTCTGTCTCAGTGCCCTCAAGTAGTACAGTTAAACTATAAAAATTAAAATAATAATAATTTCATCTTAACACTTTTTCTTTCTTTTTTGTTTTTTCTTTTATATGTTTGTACCAAAATAAATTTTTAATTAATTGACAGCAACTTTTTCTAAACATGCCGTACGTACATGCTCCTGGTTGGCATTCCATTTCCATTCCATGGTCCAAATCTAGTTTTAAACAAATGTGTAATGTGTTAATCTATTTTGGATTGCGACTGTTGTGTTCGTCTAATAAATTTAAAAAAATAAACAATGTGCCACAATGTAAGCATTATTATCATTATTCTATATTGCTATACTTATTAAAATACCTGCTAGATAATAAATTGAACAATATTACTTACACCATTAAAAAGCAACAAGAAAGACAATACCAATGTTACTGGCCTGCTTTTCGTAAGAAGGCTGTATTTACACTCACGCACGTAATATATCTTTATATACACACAACACACAAACACAAAAAACAACCGAATCCATAAGCACTTCAGTTTCTCTCTTTCATAGTTATATTTTTATTATGCCTAAGTACATTTTAATAATATATTGTAACAAAATTGTTTACTCATGATTGGTCATGCTGTATGTACATGTTTGCATTCTAGAGTAGAACCAGTGATAATGTTTAAGCTTTTGTTAAGAGGGAGCAGAGGAAACATTCCTAATCTTCGATTTAATTTTCGAGGGGTATATCCACTTTAAAGTTAAAAATAAAATATTATATGAATAATTACACGATATATTCAAGCATAGACATTAAACAGAAACATAAAACAATAAAGTTTCCTCGATAGATAAAAATCACGAAATGACCTCTAATTTGCTACAAAAACGAAATGCTACAGGTTATTAGGACAAAAATTAGATAATTAATTATATTTATGCATAATCGACAACTGTCACTACGGATTTTTTTTAATCCCTTTAGTTTTAGGGTCGTATTGTAGAACTCTACTCAATGCTCAAGTCAGGATTACACTGGAAACACAAGCACTGGAAATACGACCCTAATGGCAGGGACTTGAGTATGATTTCGAGTGCTTTGAATCATACTCAAATCCTGACTTGAGCATTGAGTAGAGTTCTGGAATACGACCCTTAGAGTTATTCCGCTAAAACGAATTTGGTACTTTTAATGCGCAAAATTCAACATCTCCTGTCGCATGTCATGCGAACTTCAGGCATATATTTGTTTCACAAATTTGGGCGGAGCCAACGTCAAAACTTTTTTGGCATGAGAGCTCTTAAGGAGTGAATGTAAACTATTTTGTACATCTAATAAATAAAATAAACAAATAAGATAACAATGTTCATATGAATTACTGGCCACATATACCGGAATTTTTAATTTGCAAAAAAAAAGAATTACTTCAATCGTCTTTTGATTTCGATTAAGCGTTACGGTGCACGTGGCCGATGGCTCATTATAATTCAACCTTTTTTTTAACGTTCCTTTAAACATATTTAATTTGAATCAGTACAGAGTACTAAAAAACCGACCTCAAAAGTACGTGGAATTAGGTCTATTTGCTAAGTTTTATTGAAATATCCTTAAATTCGCCACTATGCAGGACTTGACACTGGAGATAATAAAACTCGGTTCTCACTACTCAAAGAATATTGAGAGAAAAACGCCTTGAATTGGAGAAATAGCAAAATCAACCAGTAAAATAATTGCTCCTTAAGAAAATTTAGGCGCTATTTATAAAAATGAATCTTCATGCGTGAACAGCCAGCCTTAGAGATGGATGATTTTCTTCAAAATGAAATGGGACCACTATGGAAGTACCCCCTTTCCAACAAAAAAGAATGAGGAAAATCGGTTCACAAATACCGGAGTTATCGCGTAACATACATACAAAAAACATAGTCGAATTGAGAACCTCCTCCTTTTCTGAAGTCGGTTAAATAATTACTTCAATCGCCTTTTGATTTCGATTAAACGTTACGGTGTACGTGACCACTGACTCATCATAATTCAACCTTTTTTAGCGTTCCTTTAAACATACTTAATTTGAAAAAATAATGACTTCAAACATCTTTTGAATCGAAACGTTCCGTTATACATATATGTGGCCAGTGGCTCATTTGAACGTTGTTATCATAACAGCCTTTTAGGGTTCCTCATGGTAAATATATCCACGAGTATAGTTGAGCTACAAAGGGGTCGATGCAAAATAAAACTAGGTGTATATTTTGAAATGGAATCACGTACATTTATTTTTTATTCAATTCTTAATTCATAATCGCTAGATATAATAAATATGAGATACAAATTAATACTGGGTACTTGGCTGCTATTTTAAAGTTGTTAATATTATCAATGACCGTTAATTGCGGAACAATCTGATTCGAAAGGAAGTTGGTAAAACTGGTAACCTGTATTAGCACATAGGGTGGCAACCGAGTACGCGAACAATACCACAATCAGCTGCTCATCCGCTGATGTACAAAGAACTTGCATCGCCAACAACTTAAGAAGAAAAGAATTGAAGCGAATAGAGAGAAAAAACAATAGTTTGTTTTTTCGATTTACTAATGTATCGTTATGTATCATTGACTTACAATTATATGGACGTCGGGTCTGCGCTAAAAAGTGTCCGAACTTATAGGGCGTCAACATCGTATACAGAGCGTCATTCACGCTTTAGTCTTCGTTTGTTCGACTGACAGCGAAGCAAGCAAAATTAGACAGTACTGCGATGACATTACAATTTAAATTCAACGTTTTAGCTTTTTGATATTCCTTTACATGTCACTACGTTTAAATAGGTTGACTTGGGACATTTTTTTCGTGGTTTTTGTATTAGACCCGTCGTCCATTTATTTGTAAGTCAATGTTATGTGTACACAAATTCGCATTTCCTTTCTATTTCATAATCATACTCTGATAATCGAGTAATAAAAATATCAATATGTAAGTACTGTATTTGAAGTTTCTTTTAAAATAGCACAAAAATAATGCTTCCAAAATTTGTTTTGCAGCCTGTAGGTATAACTAAAATAATAATGTGACAACCCTACGCTCCGAGTCAAATGATTGATGCGCCAAACAAGCAGGAGTTAGGGCGCGTTCTCACTATGTCGTCACGTTTTATTATCGTTGGACAACTGTCGTGTCTAGCTGTTCCCACTAGATCGTGACGACAATTTATCGTTTCACGACAGCCTCCTTGCCCATCTCTGGCTACGACCCAACGCTACTGCAAAGCGAGCAGAGGGCGCGGGGTACGAGAGGGGATGGCAGGGAGCAGAATACGTGCGGACAGCGGTAAATAAAACGTGACGACAATAGGAGCTGCGACCATCTATCGTGACATTTTTATCGTCTGACGACTGTCGTTCTAGCTGTTCCCACTGTGACGACAGTTTGTCGTTGTAACGATAAAAAATCGTGAACGACAGTTAATCGTGAACAACTCCATTTAATACAAGCCACGACACTGTAAACTGCACATCTGTCGTCACGATATCGTGTGAACGCGCCCTCACCTTACTTCGCCTTATTATACCATGACACAGTAATACATGGTGAAAGTATGAGCCTGTGTACCTCCCGACATACTGAAATAAATTCAGTAATCACTCAATAAAAGAATTTTCATACTTCCAAGGTCAACGAAGTAATACAAGGTGACCCTTATTTTACCGCATTCTAGAGGGTAATTTTACTAAACTTTATTAGAACTTTAATAAGGAACAACTTTAATTATTTATTATAATTTACTGCACTATAATATTTTTATTACTATACCCTCAAATCCGGAAAACAATTTCAGTTGTTCTGTACTAAATGTTGTCGGTGCCAACAATTCGAAGAAGTTCGGTGTTGATTTGTAGAATTACCACCTAAAATGTCGTTAAATTATAAAATGGACATCCGGGATAATTTAACGGTCTTTTTACAACGTCCCTTTTTAAGGGCACACCAATCGCAGATACGTGATGAAAATTAACTCTAAATCGAAATGCTAACGTATTTAGGTACAATTTTCGACAAATAATTGTACGTAGTTAAGCAAAAAGAATCCAATCCACAAAATTATCAAAAAATTGGTTATATATACCAAACGGTTCTAAAGTCTAACCTCTTAGA